CAGCGGGAATGGAGTAAAATAGATGGCTATGGATTGTGTCATGAAGGAAAGAAGAGAGAAGCCCTAAATGACTCCCCAGATGGCCTTGCCAGTCTGTGGATTTTCATGTGCCCAACAGAACATCTTGTACAACATCAGAACAGCTATTGTTTTTTCACTGCTTACCAGATATCATTGTACGAGCACTTACCATGCATTCTCTCTTTGAGTCCTCACAGCACTCATTTTCCCTGTATTATAGATGAAGAAACTGAGGCTCAGAAATATTAATCACTTGGCTGAAATCACACAGCCCATAACCAGTTGATTAAGGACAGAAACCCCCTTCTGTCTGATTCTGGAACCCAGACTCACAGCATTTCTCAGGGTGCGAGTTGTGCTCCTCTCATGGGACATGGGAAGGCCATTTCTGAAATAGTTATGTGAACATCTTCATGAGCATTAAAACAAAACCAGCATATCACATCCATGATTTTATGTTCACTATCATTCATAATGAGATAAAGTTTAAAAAAAATAGTTGAAAGTTGATTTAAAGAAAAAATTTGAAGACGTAATTGTATAGATCCGCACTATTCAATACAGTACCCACTAGCCACATGGAACTATTTATATTTAAATTAATTGAAATTAAGTTAAAGTAAAAATTCAGGTCCTCAGTCACACTAGCCGAATTTCAAGTGCTCAATAGCCACAGGTGGCTAGTGGCTACCATATTGAACCTGCAAATATAGAACACTTCCATCATCATATAAAGTTCCATTGGGCATACAACTGTCTTACATTAGATCAGCATCTTTTTAGAGTTCACTCTAGCTCTAAATTAGCTCTCTTTAGAACTTGATCCGCCTTTGGATAAGTCCTGTACACCTGTGCTGTCCGATACACTAATCACATGTGGTCTTGAGCGCTGGAAATATGGCTAGTCTGAATTGAAATGCTCTATAAGTAAAATACCCATTGAATTTCAAAGCCTTAATGTGAATAAAGAATGTAAAATATATCATTAATTATTTTATACTGACTATATGTTGAAATATTATTTTGATGTCTTGGGTTAAATAAAATGTATTATTGAAATTAATTTCACTTGTTCTTTTTTACCTTATTTAATGGTGCTACAAGAAAATTTTAAATTACATACGTGGCTCATGTTATATTTCCACCGGACTGCATTGTCCCATGATGTGACACCAGAGTGCTCTCCTTTTCCCTGTCTCTAGATCTGAGCTGCCCAACATGGTATCCATAAGCCACATGTGCATATTTAAATTTAAATTAATTAAAATTAAACAAAATTTAGAATTCATTTCCTCAGTCACATTAGCCACATTTCACATGCTCAGTAGCCACATGTGGTTGGTGGCTACCATATTGCACAACACAAATACAGACCATTTCTGTCATTGCTGAAAGTTCTATTGGACAGAGCCGATATAAGATGTATATAGTTATGGCAAAAACCACAGAGGTGGGGCGTGGGTATCTAAATCTTGTTTCCGTGATGCCTAACTCTGCAGCACATCATCCTCCCATCTTCTAGGCGCCTATCCCTTCCCACCTTTGTTAGACTTGTTTATGTACACCTTATCTCTTCTTCTTTCCTGCTAGGCGTGTGGCATGCTTATCTCCCTCTGAACATAATTTCCTCCACCCTCCTGTGTGTGCACAGTGTCTAACTCCGTGCTTCATACAATATAGGTACTCAGTAAATATTTGTTAACCAGTTGGAGTGGCAATTCCTAGCAAGTGATTGAAAATATGTGGCTGAAGCTGGAGAGAGATCTATAATGGCTGGAAGCAGGGGGATAAAAAAGAGAAAGTCAAAGCCAGTTTCCCAAGGAAGAAAGAAAAGAAAGTGGTACAGAGATAGAAAATAGGAAATAAGAGGGACATTGGTGACTTGGGATCTCATACACATCGCCAAAATCCCTCTGCCCGCCCCACATGCCCCTCACTGGCAACAACAAGAGTTATTGCAGGGGAAGTCACGGGCTTAGACAACAGCTTTAGAAAAAGTGCAAAAGAAATCCAAAATATGATTATGTGATAAATAAACAAGCAAGACCCATCAATGAGAGGTTGAAATGGCATGAAAATTAAGGGTCTGGTGAGGTGAAAAAATGAAAAATGTTCTTTCCCTTGGCCAGCTGGTTTGAGTTACATTTTATGAGCAGCATGTGAATTCCTGCACCCTTATTGAATTAGCAGCAGAATCGCACATTAGTTTTAAGGCTCCCTCCCGAATAGGAACATCATAACGCTTTTTAATTGGGGCTGATAAAAACGTAGCATTACTTGTAGGTTCCTGAGAGAAGTGAGTTGTGAAATTGGGTTTTCATTAAACCTAATGATGGAAAATTAAGTATAGTGCGTCTGGTGAAATGGGGTGTGGTAAAGGCATCACTTCTTCATTATCGGAGGTTAATAAGGGAATAGGTGAGGTAAGATACACTGGAAAAGGGAGTCAAACGAGTTGATTTAATAAACCTTGAAAATCCCTTGGTTCCGAGTCTTCATAACATCATTAGCACTGGCATTGACATTATTACAAATGTTACAGCAATACAAGTTGTTAAATTTCAAATGCATTTATTTTCCATTCCAGTGTTGGTTTTGCTGACACCAAGTTTACAGTCTGTCTAGCAATGTGTTTAGGGAAAATATCCATATTGGTAGCTTATTTGGTTTTGGAAACATTTGGCGTCTCACAAAGATTATCGGGTTCCCCTTCCTAAGAAGCCTGTCTCCGCCAGGCAGCCAGTCTCCCAGGCAGCTCGTGCCCCAGGACCTGTGGGATACCAGGGGTCTCTGAAGACATCTGTCCCTAGATGTGATGGCAGCTTAGATGGGAGACACTCACAGGGCTCCGGGCACTGACTCCGGCTCATCTTCTCCTGCAACTCATGAAGTGCAACATCTAGAGAAGCAAACTCAAGTGCTTCTTTCTTCTCCGTCACCAACCCCACCACACCATCACAGGAGTGATATTCACTGGAAGGATGCCTCAGATCCATGGCAGCTGGGACACCTAAAAGAAAGAGTGTGAATCTTTAAAGAGAGGGAGTCTTCTTAAAAATCCTTCAACAGCTTCCCACTGGCTTGAAGATTCTTATACATTCACAGCCTTTCTAGACTGGCCTCACACCATCTCTTATAGCTTTACCCTCACCACATTTCCACTCACCACCTTCACTCCAGCCCCACCTCCTTGCTCTTACCTAAATGTGCTTGGCTTCTCCAGCATCTGTCATGCTTCAGACGGTTCTACTTGTCTGTCTTTCCTACTAGACCATCGAGCCTTGAGGGTGAAATCTGTGTTCTGAGTATTGCCAGTGCCTACCAGAGTCCCTGGCACAGGGTGGGTTCTCAATAAATCTAACTCCTGAACACAAGGGTGTGATGGAGAAGGGCAGCAGCCCCTACATTTGCCAAGCTCTACATTTAGGCAATGCCAGTGAAGATGTGTTACCTATTACCTGAAATCCCAGGAGAAAAAGTAAGCAGTATTTTTCTTATGTGCAGTCAGGAAATCTTGCCTAGACCTTTCTTCCTTCTGATAAACTTCTATATTCTAGATCTTTCTTTTGGCAATCCTTTCCTGACTAGGAACAGTTTTGCTCATGCTATCACATGGTAGGAAAGTTTACTTTCACATACAGAATCAAAGTCTGGTGGATTATTGTGACATGAGAGACAAACAAGCTGAAGGAAACATGGATTTTGAAAATACAAGTTGCAGACAATCAGGAATATATGCTACAGCCTCCCAGGGAGTATATGCAGCCTAGGCCTAGTGGGGTCTGCGCTGGTGCCTTGCAGTGCCTGAAAACACCCAGGGCAGACATGTAGAATCTGGCACTTCCCATCTCATGCATGCCACAGACAGGAGGGTCTAGGGCATAGACTGTCCCTGTCTTTGGGAGGAGGTTGGGGAGACCAAGCCTAGATGTTTCCCAGTACAATGAACTGGTCCTGGAAAACCAACAATGTATGCCTGGCAGAGAGTTGGTAAGGCAAGAAAGTAGTTTTACTGGCCCGAGGGGAACAGAGGAATTCAAATCCAACCTCAGCAGAAATCAGTTTCCAGGGTGGCCAAAGCAATAGAGGGCAGTTAAAGCAAATCAGTGAGTATAAAGATTCTTATCAGGGGGGAGTATAGATCTTACATCAAGGAGAGATTTTATGAGGGAGATGAGGCATAGGACTCAGGCCTGGGAGGATTGCAGGATTCTGAGCTGGCAGGATTGCAGGAAAATGTTCAGGCTTCCCTACCTGCAAGGTGCACTCAGCAACACTCCTGGATCAAGAGTATTAAGTGGTGGGGAAACTAGACAGTAGGCAGAAGGTGGTCACTGTTGCAGAGCTTATAGATGGAGAGAGCAGCTAAGAGAATCAGAGTTCCTTCTGTCTTCTGGGGGTCCAAGACTGGCTCCAATTCCTCCCAGTTCACAACCCAAAGAAAACAAGCTAGTAGAGAAACTGGGTCACAGGGATGTGGACAAATGGACCAGAAGCAGGCAAGTGGCTCTGATCTCCATGGACCTGAGGCTCTCCTCACCTGCAGGCAGGCACTAGACAGGATTTCCAGCCACCCTACTTCCTAAACAAGAGGGTGCTCCCAGTATCCAGCCTGTCTGGCTTCTTGCTGGTTCTGGGATTAGCCAATACAACCCTGACAAGCCTGGAGGAAGGACTGAGACAGGAAGGGGTGACAGCCAACCTAGAACTTTGTCTCTACTCCATCGATACGCACACTTGAAGTAGAAATGCACCAAGGGTTATTGTATTCATTGGTCTGTATGTTGTTTGAATTTTTAAATCTACCACCATAGCCATGCCAGGGAAGCAGTGTATCTCTATTCTTTCTGCGGTTTTCTGATCAGTTAACTCCTGAGTTAGCTCCTTCTGCCCTCTTCAGGTCAAGCTGGGGGAGGCACGGAGGACAGAGGACAAAACTCCCATAGGTGATGGTCTGTTCTGCCTCTTTCTCTTTGAAGCAGATGGCAGCCGCGGGGAGCTGTCCCAGCCCACCCTCACCATCCAGACTCACCCCTACCGGGCCTGTGACCCTGTGGAGATGAGCTATCCTCGGGACCAGTTCCAGCCCGCCATCCGGGTGGCTGACCTGCTGCAGCACATCACCCAGATGAAGAGAGGCCAGGGCTACGGGTTCAAGGAGGAATATGAGGTAAGAGACCAGACTGTGGGGAAACTGCCTGATGGGTGCAGAGGCTTCGTGGGTGCTAAAGCCTTGCTACTTCAAGTGTGGTCCTTGGACCAGCAGCATCAGCATCACCTGGGAGCATGTTGGAACGGTACCATCTCAGTCCCTACCCAGACCTACTGAATCAGTTTGGATTCACACCTTCCTTCAATAGAAAGACTGGCTCAAGCCCCATCACACATGTTGTAGAAAAGCCAGCAAATATCCCCCGCCAGTGATTTCTGGGAGGCCTGCTTGCTCCGGGTCACCTCCTTCCTCATTATCATGCTTCTGTTGTGTTCTCAACACCCCCCATGTCAATATCTCATCTGGTGACTGCTATCCTCTCTCTCTCTGTACCTTTCTCCTCACCCCTACATTGAACATTACTTTCCTGCCTCCCCAAAGCATCTCCAATGCAAAGGATTTGTGAGTGGTGGTTGTTACTGAGGTTTGGGGAATAACAGAAGGATTGAAGCAAAATCCAGGAAGCTCCTTAATACAAGTCCTCCTAAGATTCTGGTCTCCTGTCAGCTCTCTAGCCACTCCTCTCCCAAAAGTTCTTTTTAGTGTCCTCAAAATTTCCCTTGTATTTTTTCTTTTTCCCAACAGCCAGGAAAAGAACTCCCACTTTATTATGCAGAACAATTTAGCTTTCTTTGTCTCACTCTTTTTGTTTCAGACCCTGCCCATTAAGCTCACCTTTTACAAACAAAAAGGAAAATTAAATAGAAGGAAAAATTCATTAAGATGTTTTTCCTGAACTAAAGAGCACCTTACTCCCAGAGAGGAATTTTGCAACCCTCCTCTTGCAGATGGAATCCAGCTGCAGCCAACTTTGAAAACAAGCATTTCTTTCTTCCCTTTCCCTCCCTCTCCCTCTCCTCCTTCCTTCCCAAAATATCTTTCAAACATCTACTGTGTGCCAGGCTCTGAGTTATATGCACTACTTTTTTGTGGGTTATTTTTCACATGCAGTGTGTGTCCCAAATCTGCTAGGTTTGGTTTCACTGTGTGCAGTGAAAACGCATTGACTCAGACTACGCATTTGGAATTCTTGATAATGCAGACTAAGTTTATCTCTCAGACTGTATTCTGAGAGAGAGCTTACAAAGCAGTATTTCAGAAGCTGTGTGAGGTCACGAAATTGTGCTAAACTGGGGGTCCAGACAGCCGGATTCCAATACAACAAACTATGTAATCTTAACTTATTGTTTTGCTACCTGAGTTTTAATATTCTTTATTAGTTGAGTAAAGAGTTTAGATAAGGTGATTTCTAAGGGCCTGTCTGGTCCTAAAACTTTATGGGAGTGTAAAACATGGTGGCAAGGGGCATGTTTGGCACATTTACGAAAACAAAAACATTTATGTCAATGGATGTGAGTAATTACCAGCTCAGGAGAACTAGCAGTTAATTTCACATATAGTTTATGTAAAATAGCATTTTTCATGTGCTCAATCTACAAATTTTGGAAGGATATTGGGATAAGAGTCGAAGGGGATGGTGTCATCACCACCCATCCCTGTGCCTTGTTTCCTAGGTGGTTGGTTGAATGGTCCCAACCCCTTAAAGTGGGGGGGAGGTGCATGTGTGCGTGCTTATACACACCTATGTAGATCTGTTTGGGGACCGAGTGTCAGGAGAGGGTGTGTTGTTTGTAAAGGCATATTCAGTATCATGATGGTTTCATAAGTCATTAGTCATAATATTTATTTGCTTTAAAGTTTCAAATAGCATTGAGAGGAGAGACATGTGACATATCAGAAAGGGGGGTAAGCAGTCAAAGCCTGAGAAACACTGTTCTAAGAACTTGCAATCTGAAATTTGGAGACAAAAATACAAATGCATTTGACTACTTTGGTACATTTCCTTCCAGAATGATATCTCTTTCAAAAGCATCCACCCCTGTGTGGTGGGAATCTGTTGATTTCTAGCCTGGAAATGAACTGCTTTTATTATGAGAGAGAAAACAATACGTGTTGTTCTATCATTTGGACCTCAACCAGAAATATCGCTAACTAGACTAGCCTTGCCCTCAATTAGTTCAAATTATTTTAATCAGTTAGCTGGAATGCTTAGCTTCTAGTTAACAGCATTTTCTAATTAACGGGAGGTTAATTGGAAAATGTTACTTAATGGAAGACTTTCCACAATGTGCTAGTCCACTTTCCTAGACTGCAGGTGGATATGGCTTTGATCATCAGGGCTCCTGTGATGTCTGGAATCTACATACTGAGCATAAGAGTCACAAATCTGCTTGAAGACTGTGTCCTCTTGGAGACATAAAGCTCCTGGATCTCCAGTCCTACTCTCAAACCAACATGCTGTGTGCTCTGTTTATTGCTTGTCACTCTCCCGTTCTACTCAAGCTTTGTCATACAAATGAGTGGGTTTAACAAGCTGACATATAAGGGACCTCTCAGCTAAAGCAAGCTCTGTCTTCTAAAATTCAGTTCAGTTGTACAATCACTTACAAATTTGTTCATTAAATATTTACTGAGTATTTACTATTCCCAAGGACTGTTCTCTATATCTGGGATACAACAGTAAAACAGACAAAGACCCATGCCCTCAAGAAGCTTTTGTTCTAGCAAGGGAAACAGGAAATAAATAATAGACTTAAAATAAGTAAGTTATTTTACAATAATGTAATATGTTAGTAAATAATGTAGTATGTTAGACAGTGAAAAATACTGTCTGCTGTGTTAAAAACTACCCCAAATCTTAGCGACATAGAACAACCAATTTATTGTGCTCACTGACTCTGTGGATCAGGAATTTGGACAGGGCAAAAACAGGGATAGTCTGTCTCTGCAACATGATGTCTGAAGCCTTCACTTTGAAGGCTGCAAGGCTGGAGACTGAAGTCATCTGAAAGTGTCTTCCCTCACTTGTCTAGTGATTGAGGCAGGCTATCATCTGGGATCTCAGCTGGGATTGCCAGCTGGAACACCTACAGGTGGCCTGTTCAGGTGGCCTGGGCTTCCTCACAGCATGGTAGCCTTGGGACAGTTGGACTTCTTACCTGGTGGCTCAGAGCTCCACAGGTGAGCCTCCCAGCTAACAAGGTGGAAAGTGCATCACCTTTGTGACCTACACTTGGACATCACACAGCATCACTCCTACCACATTCTGTTGGTTATAAGCTAATAATAACTGCCTACATTCTAGGGGAGGGGAATTAGACTCCATCTCCTGATGGACAGAGGCGCAGTTGCAAGATTCTAAAAGAGAATACAGAACAGGAGATATTGGAAAATATAATCTTTGGATAATACAATCTTCCACAAGTACCATCAGAAAAGAAAGAGTACAGCAAGGAAGGGAGATGGTGTATTCCAGAGACATAAGGTGAAGGAGGTTTCAATATTAAATAGGGTTGAAAAGTTGTCCTTAATTAGAAGATAAGATTTGAGCAGAGACATGGTGGAAAATATCTGGAGGAAGAGAGTTCCAGATCAAGGGAGTAGCACATCTGGCACATACAAGAAGGAACAAGGAGGCCAAGGGTGGCATGAGTAGAGTGAACAAGAAGTAAAAGTAAGAGAAGATGATATTGGAGAAATAAAGGGGACCTGACCATAAAGTGCCTTACAAGCCATTATAAGGACTTTGGCTTTTACTCTGAATGAAATGGAAAGCCACCGCAGAGTTTTGAGAAGACAAATGGTAGTTATCTGACATTATTTTGAAAGACTCTTTCTAGCTACTATGTTAAGAATAGATCTGGAAAGGCAAGAATAAAAGCAGGGAGGCCAGTGAAGAGGCCATGCAGTAACCCAGGTGAGAGACATTGGTGACTCAAGCCAGGGTGTGGCAGTGGAGCTGGTGAGAAGCGGTTGGATTCTGAATATATTTTAAAGATAGAGCCAGCAAGATTTCCTAACACATTAGACATGGCATGTGAGAAGAAGAGAGGAATCAGGGGTGACTCCAAGGCTATTAGCTGAGCCACTGGAAGGATGGAGTTGCTACCAATGGAGATGGGGAAGCTGCAGGTAGAGCAGACTTTGGGACAATGGAGCATCGGGAGTTCAATTTTGAACTATTACACATCTATTAGACATCTTAGTGCAGATGGAAAGTAGGTAGTTGGATATATGAGTCTGGAATTTGGGAAAGAAGCCTGGCCTGGGGAGAAAACTTTGAGAGTCATTGACATATAGATGATATTAAAGCCACGAGACTGTTCAAAGTCGCCAAGCAAGTGAGCATAGACAGAGACGAGGACCAAGGACTGAGCCTCGTGGGATTTCAACTTAAAGATCTTTGAGCACTTTCCATAGACCAGGTGTGGTATTAGGCTCTAGGAACTGAGGAGATGAGAGAGAGCCTTTGCCTTCTGGGGCTCCTAGAGGCATATAAACTGATCATTTCAATATCTTGGCAAAATGTCACACTAGAGGTATACCCAGAGTGCTATGGGAACTCTTGGGGGTGGGGTGCGTTAAGGCTAGCCTGAAGATGAATGACAAGTGGCTTTCTGGAAGACAGAAAGCGTAAACCAAAGCTTAAGAAATAGGAATAACCAAATGAAAGCAGGAAGGGTGTTTTAGGCAGAGAGACCAGAACAAGCTATGGCATGATGGTGTTTACAATAGATTGAGTTAAAAGAACCAGATGCAGTTTGGTACATAAACTATAGGAAGAAGCATGGAGGGAGATGGGCTGAAATTGTTAGTAGGGGCGGGTGTGGGGTGAGGGCACGGGGACATTTGTCAGGCTAAGGAGTTTGGATATTATTCCCGGGGCCATGGGTAGCCATTGAAGGGAGCAGGATTTTTTAAGCTGGGTTTGCATTTAGATGTAACTATCTGGCACAGACAGGTTTCAGCAGAGCTTCCAGACTAAGACAGACTAAGAAGAAGGACCTGGCCACCCACTTCCGAAAAACTTGGCCATGAAAACCCTGTGAATAGCATCAGAGCACTGTCTGATATAGCCGCGGAAGGTGAGAGGATGGTGCAAAAAGACCAGGCAGGGT